TAATTATTTTCATCTTATTATTTTCATAATAAATAATTATCAATAATTTTTAAAATATTATAATTATACTAAAAAATAATAAAATATTATTCATCATAATGTTTTAAGAATGCTTATTGATTATTGATCTAATAAATCTATTGGAATACTGCATAAAGACAATCTCATTAGTTATATTTGATATTGTTTCATTTTAATACAATATATAAATGTAATTCCTGCTATTATTATTTCAATTAATAAAGCACATGAAAAATAAGCTTAAATTTCTAAATCATTTTTTTCAATTACTTTATAAGTTTTATTAAGTATTTATTCTTAAAATTTTCTAAATGCTTTTTTAGTATTTATAAAATGCCTTGAAAATAATACAATAAATTCATGAGAATTTACTACACTTATTTAAGCTTTAATATCTGGATCTTATTTTAAATTTTCTAGTTCATAATTAAATGTACTTTTAATAAATTTACTTAGACTTGCATATATTCCAGATATTCCTTCACTTACATAATATTTATTCTAATCTCTTTCATCAGTAGAATTTGGACATATTAAAGGACATAGATCATTAAAGAAGAGTTGATATAGTGTAGAATTATTTTATCGATCAACAGTTTAATCATTAATCAATCCTTTAAGAATTAGTTCTTCTGATTTTACAAAATCTTGATATAAAATAGAATAAAAAGTTAAATTTGTAGTTCTAATAGCTATGAGTTTTGAATTAACCAAAGTTTTTTAAACTGTTATTGATTCATTAATTTTATTATTTTGCATATAGAGTCTTTGACATTTAACTCTAATAGATTAAGTAACCATAGAATCCATAGTGACTGAAAATTGAAAGAATTATGACATTAATTCATATTAGGGAGTTAATTCAATTTGTTATATCTCATTAAAAAAATATCCACCAACACAGAAACCTATTAGGAGTGATTAAACAGATACAATCATAATAAGAATAGAAAATAAAGAAAATTTACTTTGTGCAATTCTAGAACAGAGAAGAGTATGTTTATTGATTTTGGATTGAATTTGTATTTGATCAGATTTAATTTATTAGAACATTAAATGAACATAATCAGCCTTTTTCCAATTTGTTACAGTATGTTCAATTAAGATTTCTCTTATTAATTACAATCTTTAAACTATAAGATGAACATCTTTTTCTAATAATCTACAATTTAAGTATATGATCTTTTTAAAATAATTAAATATTTAATGAAAATATATGATCTATATCCAAAATAAAAAGATTATAATAAATAGAGCAACCATTAGATATTTAAGGAATGTATTTTCATCATAAACCATATCTTCAAAAAATGTAAGTACAATTAATTATATTAAATCTGAATATAGTGATATACTTTCTTATAAATTAGCATACAAATATAGTGAAGAAATAATTTCTGATTCATTCATCTAATATTTAGAAAAGTTCTATCCTTTTTATGTAAAATATTATAATTTTTCGATTAAGACACTATACATATATGTGAATGAAACATTCAATTAATCTGCAGTATTAATGAAATTAATATTTAATTTTGGAAAATAATCTAATTTTTCTATTTCTAAAAAGACTGGATAATATTTTTTTAGATCTTGAAGAAGTGTATTATTTTAATTTATAGATTCTATATCATGAATTAATTCTTGACTATAATTCACAATTGAGAGTTTTTACAATTCAAAAATCATATTGTGTACATATAATTAACAATAATATGAATTATATAGATATGGAGCCATAATAGCATCAATTTATTCAATAGCATGGATATTATTATTATGAATTGTAATTATTGGAAATATATTAAAGAATAATATTGAAGATATGATCATCAGATCAAAAATTATTATCATTTTAAGTGAGTAAGGAATTTTATTAGATTTATAAACACTTTTTACAAGATCTTATTTATAATTAATTAAATTAGAAGCAATAGAATTAACAGAATTAACAGCATCCATTTCATTTATATCTTATTTACGTTTTTCTTAGATTTAATCAATTATATTTTTTCTTTTAGTTAATTTTTCAGAACTTTTATGTTCCTCTTTTTATTTCTCATTTAATATAATTTGTCTTTAACTATATCTTTTATTAGCTTTCATAATTTTCATTTCTTCTTCAATACTTTTTAAATCATCATTTAAACTCTTTTATTTAATAACTTAAAAAGTAGCTTTCTAAGATTAAGGTTACATAATAGATTATTTCTATTTATTATTTTTTGGAGTCTATTCATTTAATTATTATTCAAATCTTCCTTTAATGAAAGAAATATCAGGAACTTATTATAATTAATTATCAAATTATGGTAAATCATTATTCTTTACTTTTTAAAAACTTTCTTCTTAAATAGAACTTAAGTCAACTGGATCTGGTTCAAATATATCATTAGTTTTTATTTCAATATCAGATGAATAGATTTAACTTGATTATTAATCTGCTTTGATAATATCTAAAATTTCTAATGTAAACATAGGCATAGTTTTATAATGTCCAATTATTTAATAATGAAGTTGGCATATAATTTCAAAATCTACAGTTTTTAATTAATGATCTATGAATTATTTACAAGAATCTTAATAATCTGAAAGAAACATTTCTGTTTTATGATTTTTTGTATCTTCATAAAGAGTCCATAAATCATCATAATATCCTTTATGTTTTGATAAATTAATTGGTTTTTCAAATTATTATTTAATTGGATTTCCAATAATTAAATGAATTCTTTCTTCATATAAAATGTTATCAAATTCTGCATTTGTATGATTATTAACTAAATAAAATATATTAGGTATAATTTGAAATATATATCCAGTATTTAATAATTCTGGAGTAACTGTAGAATCAATTGTATGAAATACTTTATACATCAATTAAGTGACTCCAAGTATTTTACCTTTGCAATCAAATAAAATATATAAAGATGTCTCTTTATTTTTTGCAAATGCTGCAGTGATAACATAATCATCATAACTGATAAAGAAATTATCAATAGTAATACTAGCTGGAATGAGTAAATCATATTTATCTTTAAGAAAGATAGTTCTACATTTTCCAAATAGAATACTATGACCTAACATTTAAAATCTTTCTATATATTAATCATGTACAGATGCACAAAAATTTGGCATTAATTAATTGATATGTTTAATATCATGAAAATCTAATTCACTTTCATATCCCCAAAATTTTGCTAATTAATCACTATTAGTTTTAATTATAAATCCTTATGCTTTAACAATACTAGTGTATAATAATACTACTTTGTTTTCCATGATGCTACAATTTAATAACTTACCATCTTGTTAAGTTTCTTATCTCAACATTTCTATAATAAGTTTCTACATTTTTGTTGCTTATACTTAATCATTTCTTACTACACAAAAGTAAATTTCTAACATTTTTAATTCAATAACTGTCTTAACATTTTAAATATCATCTAAATCTTAAGAGAATAGATTTTATAGAAATATATTAAAATTATGTACTACTTAACTACATTTTATTGTATGTTCAAATAATCTTTCATAATTGGCAAGATCTGACAATAATTAATTCCAATATTCAAGCTTTCTATTTAAAACTTCTATTATTTTTGGATAAAATTAATCCTTCATCAAAGATGCAACATAAATATCTTTAGTTTTTAAATCTTTTTCATCATAATATGAAGTTGATCTAATCTATTTAGTAATTCTATTTTAAACATCTCTAACTCTCTTCCATAATTTCTTATCAATATTTGGAAAGCATATTTAAAAATATATTGTATGATCATCTATTGCATTATAATACATCTTCAATCTACAGAAAGCTGTTAATGCTGCTTTTTATAAAGATAAGAAATTAATCAATGCCAATTCTAATATTTCATAATCTAATTTGATTTATTTATTTTTTTTTATTGAATTTTCAAGTATACAAATTATTGTTTCAATTACATTATTTTCATGTTTAAATTTACAAATTTATCTATGTTAACTAATCATAATTGCCTTTTATATATTTGATGCAAGATATAATTATTAACTTTAAACTAATATAAAATATTAATCAAAAGTCTACTTTTTAGAACATTTTTCTATTAATATTTATGATAATGCTACTGAAAATGAACCAAATAGAAAATATGAATAAAATAAATTATTTTCTGATTTCTAAATGATAGATATAGTTGTTATGAATATTAGAGTATATTGTAATATTGCACATTAAAATACAAATGAATTAAGTTTAGGTTTATATGGATGAAATGAATAGACATCAACTATTTATACTATTGTTGAAAAATGAAGTAATATCAATCTTATTAAATAAAATTAAAAGTTCATATAACATAGAGTATCAATAGCAATAGATACAATAGTAAGGTTTGTATACTTTCTTATAAATGGATTATTATGTAAAAATTTAGTTGCTCTATTAAAATATAAATTTATGAAAGATTGAACTAATAACAAAAAAATTGCTATTGTTGAAAGTGTTGGATCTGATTCAAAATCTATTAATATTGAAACCTAAGGCATAAAGAAGATATGCCAAGTTACATTGTTATAGTAGTACATCAATTTAATTCTCATAAAACTCATCAATAAGCAACAACCATTTAAAATGATGAGAATTACTTTTAATAAAATTGCATTTTGCTAAAAGATCGTTGATAAAATTTATTAAGGTATTTTGATCTTAAAATCTTCATAATTCCATATTCCCCATCCATCTTCTGGTAATAAATAGTGAAGTCGGAACATAAATTAAAATATTATGGTAGCTCTGAATAAATTTTCTGTCAATTCCACTTTTGGTGCTGTTGTCATTAAGTCCAAATATAGACTCATCAATTATTGTAATTTGTACATAAACTTTCCTGTAAATGATCCCCTAATATTTAATATACTATACTTACTCATTTCTAATTTTCTTTATTATTATAATTATATTGATTCGTTGCTTTAATCATGGCAAGATTTCATCTATGCATATACTACAAAAGAATGCCAACACAAAACCTTATATTCAGATTGCATAGTCACTCATCCTAAAAATCAATTAGTTGTAATCCTACCATTAAGAGATTTTGAACTTTCTAGGTATTCTGTACAAAAAACTATAGCCAGTATTGATATACATCCTAATAAAAGAGGATTTGAGTATTTTTAGATAAAGAATGTCAATATTATAGAATCATTTAATATAAACTCGAGAAATATGAAAATCAGAATGTAAAGATTATAATAAAATATTGTCAACTACTTTATAGATAAATTAGATTTTATATATATTTATTAAATAGCTTTTATTAAGACTATTATTCTTTAAATTGAATAATTTTACAATGAAAACATACTAAAATTGTGAAGAACATATTAATAAACTTAATTCAATTATTAATTGAGAAGTAGATGATTCTAGGAGATTTGATTTTTTTATTAGATTTATAAGAGAAATTATTGTAAGTTATTGTTAATCAATATAGAGAATTAATAATAAATGGTATTTAGGACAAAAAGAGTAAGAATTGTATCATTAGAATATTTTATTTAGAGAAAATGATTATATAAATTATTCAATAATTAAATTTATTAAATGAATAGAAGATATCTATTATATTTCTTATTTCAATTAATTTATTGTTCAATTTTATTTTCATTTCGTTATTCTTACAAATAATAATGAAGATCTGATTTTGATCTGATATCTGGAACAAATGGACTTTATTCTAATCTTTTCTAGACTATCTACCAATCCAATCCATCAAAAAATGGATGATATTAGATTTTCTTAATTGATTCATTCATTATTCTTTGTTAAATCTATAATAATAAATATGAAATACATCATTGTTTAATAATTACCTAAGTAATTATTAAGCTGATTCTGAAATAGAATTTGGTATAATAATAAATTATTCTCTTTTGTTTTTTTTATATATATTTATATTAGGATGGAAATAAGGAGGATATCCAAAATACATTTCATACATAATAGCTCCTAAACTCCAATAATCAGATAATTAATTTTAATATTGTATTTTACTAATTTCTGGTGCTTGGTAATAAATATTTCCAGTGAGTAAATTACATTCAGTACCAAAATGACATAAGGAAAAATCAGATAATTTAATATGACCTTAATTATCTATTAAAACATTATTTGGAGTTAAATTTCTATAAATGATATTATTTTTATGAAGATGTTAAAGTGCAATCAATATTTCAGCTATATAAAATCTAATTTCAGCTTCATTCATTTATTTTCTTTTCATTAATTAATTTAAATTGCCACCTTATACATTTTCTAAAATTATATAACACTTTTTATTGGTGATAAAATGTTGATGATATNCAAAAAACTATAGCCAGTATTGATATACATCCTAATAAAAGAGGATTTGAGTATTTTTAGATAAAGAATGTCAATATTATAGAATCATTTAATATAAACTCGAGAAATATGAAAATCAGAATGTAAAGATTATAATAAAATATTGTCAACTACTTTATAGATAAATTAGATTTTATATATATTTATTAAATAGCTTTTATTAAGACTATTATTCTTTAAATTGAATAATTTTACAATGAAAACATACTAAAATTGTGAAGAACATATTAATAAACTTAATTCAATTATTAATTGAGAAGTAGATGATTCTAGGAGATTTGATTTTTTTATTAGATTTATAAGAGAAATTATTGTAAGTTATTGTTAATCAATATAGAGAATTAATAATAAATGGTATTTAGGACAAAAAGAGTAAGAATTGTATCATTAGAATATTTTATTTAGAGAAAATGATTATATAAATTATTCAATAATTAAATTTATTAAATGAATAGAAGATATCTATTATATTTCTTATTTCAATTAATTTATTGTTCAATTTTATTTTCATTTCGTTATTCTTACAAATAATAATGAAGATCTGATTTTGATCTGATATCTGGAACAAATGGACTTTATTCTAATCTTTTCTAGACTATCTACCAATCCAATCCATCAAAAAATGGATGATATTAGATTTTCTTAATTGATTCATTCATTATTCTTTGTTAAATCTATAATAATAAATATGAAATACATCATTGTTTAATAATTACCTAAGTAATTATTAAGCTGATTCTGAAATAGAATTTGGTATAATAATAAATTATTCTCTTTTGTTTTTTTTATATATATTTATATTAGGATGGAAATAAGGAGGATATCCAAAATACATTTCATACATAATAGCTCCTAAACTCCAATAATCAGATAATTAATTTTAATATTGTATTTTACTAATTTCTGGTGCTTGGTAATAAATATTTCCAGTGAGTAAATTACATTCAGTACCAAAATGACATAAGGAAAAATCAGATAATTTAATATGACCTTAATTATCTATTAAAACATTATTTGGAGTTAAATTTCTATAAATGATATTATTTTTATGAAGATGTTAAAGTGCAATCAATATTTCAGCTATATAAAATCTAATTTCAGCTTCATTCATTTATTTTCTTTTCATTAATTAATTTAAATTGCCACCTTATACATTTTCTAAAATTATATAACACTTTTTATTGGTGATAAAATGTTGATGATATTATTAGAAAAATTTTCCATTGCATTCTTTTCCAAATTTTATTTCATTTTAAATTTATTATTACATTCCTGAGTACTCTAAATATTATTTATTGATGGATTTCAAAATATAATATTCAGAATTGGATTTGTTTTATGATAAATATATCTTAGATTCATCATTTTTAGTCAAACATTTTATCTTTAATTTCGATATGATTCATTACTTTTGTAAAATCTTTATGTGGTTTTTCATCTATTACTCTTTCTTAATTAATGTACTAATTTTATATACTATAACTAGTAATTTTCTCTCTTATATCTTCAACTTCATCAGCGCTTTTATTATAATAATAAGAACAACTTTTAAAGTAATGCAACTCTTCTTTTATCAAGTTATTAACGAGTAAATACACTTAATAAGCATCCCATATTATCTTAATAAATATTATTAAAATAAATAGTATAATCCAATTAATTAAATAAATAAATATATATATTCCTTAGTATTATAATATAATATCTATAAAAGAATTTCAATATTCATATTTATGTAAGGAATAATAAACTTATAAAAAATATTAAATATAAAATATTATTCATCATTATTCTATTATTACTTTTCATCAATATTGTTATATTAATACTTGTTAATTTAATAATACAATAATTTTATTCATTTATTTTTTATAGTTGGAATTTTAGCAGCCGAACCTTCCTTATCTTCTTGAATCTCTAATATATATTAAATAATTATTTTTACCTGTTATCTCAGACCTTTCTTTCTCAGCCTTTTTTTTCACAGCCCTTTCTTCGAATATTTTATCTACAGCTTTATTCATCTAATTTATTAGATGATATCTTACATTCTTAACCATTTTATCACTTTTTTTAAGAAAAGGATGATCAGCAAATATCTTCTCTATAACACCTTCTTTAGTTGGATTCTCTATTTCATAAATATTTTTGAGTAGAATTTCGTAAACCATTTTAACAGTTTTAGCTCCCTTACTTAATTATTATGGTTTATAGACAAATCTAACTGAAGCTTCATTCTTAGTATTAACTAATAATTCAACTGGGATATATTCAGAGTCTTCTTATTACATTAATTTTTATTTATTTTTAATTATATCAATTTTACAAGCAAATTTTAAATGCCCTTATATTTATTAAAATGCCTTCCTTTAAATAAATCTAATGAATATATTTATAGAAGATTTAGTAGGCTGAAAAATTATTGAAAAATATTACATATACCTAAACACTGATTATTTAAATAAAATTTTATCATAATGCAATTAAAAATTAAGTATTTTTTCCTTAAAAGTGAATATTTCTCCTTATTATAATTAATTTTTTGAGTTTTATCATTTTTATCATTTTGAGTTAAAGTATGTTAATGTGTTTTAATTAGGATTTTTATAATTTATGTTAAAGTTATTTATTTTGTAATGAGCTAATTTAATCAAGAATTATTTTAAAAAATATTTGAGATTAATATTAAAAATTTGAGTATTTGAATTTTAAATATAAAAAATAAGTATAAATAGTACATAGAATAAAAGATTTAAGTAATTATATAAATTAAATTTGCATTTTATCTTAATAATTATATAATTTAATTGTTTATGTAGGAATAAAAATAAAAAATAAGAAATTTTTCACAGTTTTTTTCAAATAAACAAATAATAATTATCTATTATATAAATTTATAATAAATATTGTTTTTCATTAGAAATGAATTATATTTCTTTTTTACTATATTATTTTCTTCTATTTTATATTTATCATTATATATTATTATATTTTTCATGTATTTTTTTAGAATTCTAGTTTTGTATTTTAGATTTTCAATAATTCAAAATTTGAAGTTATAGATCAAATACAGTAGAATATTCATATGATACTAATAAATATATAATTATTTTATTTAATAATTAAAATGGATCTGGCTCTCCAATTAAGCTAGATGAAATTTATTAAAGGAAATGACTTTCGAAAGAATTTAGTTGATAATGGACATTTAGGATAAGGTAATAGCAGAGTGTATAGTGTCTTAGTAAATGGAAAGAAATATGCACTTAAAGTAAGAGATTTCTTGTATTAAGTAAGTCATAATCAATTAGTGTAACATTGAAAATGAAATCAAAATCATGTAATAATTGTCTCCTTCAGAATATGTGATTAATTTGATTGATTTCATGATACTAGAAACTGTTTCAGCAGATAAATATGCTTAAAGCTAATAATTTGCATATTTACTAATGGAAAAAGGATAACAAAATTTGGATTCCTATATTAAAAATAGAAAGCATTTCTTAGACATAGAGGAATTGCATAAAATTTTAGAATATCTTATAAACATTTTTGAACATTTATAACAAAAGAATATTGCTCATAGAGATATAAAATTAGAAAACTTATTGATAATGGAGCCATTTTAAATAAAAGCATGTGATGTAGGATGTAGTACATAGATTGAAACAATATAGACTATTAGTGTGGTGGGTACTAAATCATATTTAGCTCCAGAATTATTAAATGCAGAAACATCTAAACTTAAACATAATCCATTTAAAAGTGATGTTTATTCACTAGGTTTATGTTTTTTATATTTAGTGACACTTCAATATTGGAATTTTAGATAGAAGATTAATTCATAAATTGAAGAAGAAATAATAACAGATTATATGAGACATGTTAAACGTATTACTGAATCAGATTTAATTATTTTAACTATTTTAAAGAAAATGTTATAGATTAATCCAAATGATCGTCCTGATTTTATTGAATTAAAAACTATTTTCTAATAATTGAAAGAAAATCAATTCTAATAATAATTAATATTTTCAAAAGGTACAACAATAGAATCATTTGAATCTCCAAAAAAGGCTATTACATAATTTGATTATCTTTCTCCTGATGTTATATCAAATAGAGGTCGTAACACAGGATCAAACTATTATTAATAGGAAAGATAAAAATCTGCCAAATAAATTTAACTCAATCTAAGCAATTAAAAAAAATAGAAATCATCTACAAATTTATTAGTTGATACTAATAAAAAAAGATAAGCATCAAGATCTCCAAATAGATCTTCACCATCTAATATCTAAACAAAGGAAACTTAATTTAGTAATAAACCACCATCTGGTAATCCATTAAAACTTCCTTAATCAACTAAGGCTAGATCAATTAAAACTCCATCATCACCTAGTCATAGTTCATCAAATTTATAACATAGATAATAATGGCAATAATCTAAATTTTATCATTCAGTAGTAGAATCTAAAAGAATTCATCCAGAAAGTTTTTCTTAGACAATGCCTTCAATCTAAATGATGGGTCCTGAAGACTTTAAACCTACAGATGACTTACTCAATTGTAGTTACAGTGAAGTTGCTGTACTTTATTAATTTCATAGTTACATTAGTTTATATTAAAATAACCAAAATCATCATTAAACTAAATGTTAATTACCTAACAAATGTAAAACACTTTTATTAAAATTAAATAATTAAACACCTGAATTAATATTATCACCTTAAAATGATATTCAAATTCTCATTCTAGAATTAATTGAAGATACAAATCATAATACTAATTATAAATGGTCAGATAATTTAAGTATTATGTAATTTCCTTGCATAACACAATTAGATATTTTAGTCTATAATAAAAGTTCTTAAGTAAATAATATAATCTAATTCTTAACAAAAGTATAACATATACCTAAAATAAGTATGACAATAGGAACAGAGATGTCTGAATAAGATCATAGAACAATTATGTGGAAATTAAGTAAATATAATTGTATATCTTTTGAATTTAAAATACCAAGAATTAAATTAAATTATACATAAACATCATAACTTTGGTCATTTAATTAATCATCTTTAGAAGAACTTAGTTTAGATTATGAAGATTGTGGATTATAATAAGCTTTTTCTTTATTAGTAGCATCTTTAAGAACTGTTGATTTAAAAAAGTTTTAATTTAATTTAACTAAATTATAATCTAAAAATTCAGAAGTTAGTTTATTTTTAGAGTATTTAGGTTCAAAATAAAGTCTAAAAGATCTTGTATTGATTATGGATTATATAACTAATTATGATAAAATGGTTTAAGAGAAACTTAAAAATAATATTGGAAAATTAAAAAATTTAGAAAGACTCTAATTATCTTTAATTGGTAATAATATTAATTATGATTTTTTTGAGAAACTTTTTAATCAATTTGAATAACTCACTCTTCTTAAATTTATTGTTTTAAGTTTTGATAGAATATTTGAAAAAGAAAAAATCAAATAACTTTAAAAAAAATATTTATTCTTATCATAATTTACATTATAATTTTATGGAACTAATACTTCATTAACTATAATTATGCATAATAATGGATTATAAAAATAATAAGATTATGGTATTACTAAATGTAATTAAGGTAAATAAATTAAATTAAGTAAAATGTATTATTGTATCAAATGTTCAAAAATTCATTCTTTCTTCCTTAATCATTTATTTTAAATATGTAGTACATGTGTAACATAATGTCATTCTAAATGTGAAAATACATATAATTATAATGAAACAATAACTCATGGATCTGATTCTCTAGTATAGAGTTAAATTAATCTAAATGAAATTAGAAAAAATCATACATTTATTGAATCTTTTAATTCAAATGATCATCGATGTTATTGTCATTTATTAGGAACATGTACACAATCAATACCAAATAGAGATCGAAATAAAAATTAAATACAATTTAAGTAATTTATTATTATATAAAAATCATAGTTGTAAGACTTGCAAAAAAACAATATGCCGTTTATGCTCTTAAGATTGTCATTAATAACATTAAACTAAGGAATTATATATTAACAAGTTTGTATGTCAATGTGAAT